AAGACTCTAAAGGCGCCTAAGCCCTCTGCTATTTTAAAGAAGAGAAGTTACGATATCTAAGATAAATAGGAAGAGGAAGCGAAGTACTAGGCTAAGGGCACTAAGATATCTTATTACCTCCTTTACTATAGACTCGTAGATATACGGCCTCTAGCTAAGCGCGTTAGTTCTATTAGGCTAAGCCTATACACTAAGGAAGAATAGGTTAAGTCCTTTAATAATCCGTACCGAGCTAGCCTCTAAAACGTAGTAGCTAATAGCGCGCTATCTGTACTACTACCTCGGGTAGTACCTTAGGAAGGATAGCTTTATTATAACGCGGGGATTAAATAGGAGGCAGATAAAGCTGCTACTAAATAAAAGACTAAGAAAGCTAGCGAGCCTAACTATATAGTAGGAGCAAGAACCTTTCGAAAGCGTAAGTAAAGGTATATATAGAGGATTAGACAAGCGGCGTCTTAAGGATACGGTTAGTAAAGATAGTAAGGGAATAGTATATATAGAGGAACTAAAACTAAGAGGATCCCTAATTAGGTATACGTGGAGGACGGGGTAATTAAAGGAATAAGACTATATTATAGGTCTTTACTTAGTTTATTTACTTATATCTGCTTATGTTTAGGAGTTATCTACGCTATAAGGGCGTAATCAATATAACTAGGGCCGTATTATATCCGCGTAGATACCGCGTTAAAGTAGTTTTGGCAGACGGTTATATAACCCCCCTTTTAAGGCCGCTAGATCCACTACCCGTATATATATTAAGGACAGGCTCCGGATATCCCTATCAAAGGACTATCATTTAATTATTATCCTCTTTTATAATTACTTATTCTACGTTTAAGGTATCTTTTTAGTTTAACCTATATTACTCTAATCAGAATAGTGACTACCGATCTACTTCTTTGCTAAAGGTTATAGCGGTGTTAGTTATATTTTGGTTATGTATCGTGGTTTTACTAGACTAACCTCTTAATCCGATATTTATCTTGACGATTTGGTGCCACTACGTCTTTATCTCTTACTTGTAACGTTTACCTTTATAATAAACAGAGCTTTACTATTAGTATAATTAGCAGCGTAGTATAATAGCCACGTATATAGCCAAGGTAAGAAAGGTACTCTCTTGCCGTGCCTTTATTCCTGCCTTCTATAGAATAATAGCTCGCTATACGACCTTCTTTGCCCTCGATAGAAACTTCTAACTACTACAGCTATTATAATATTAATAGATTCGTTTTTACCATCGCTATCGCTAATACCGTTTTTATTATCATAGTTACTATTATCGCCACTATCCTTATTATTAGTATTATGCCTTTTAATATCTACGATATTCCTAATACTATTAAGGAAGAGCTTGCGGGTTTACCTCGTAAGATATATCGCTAGCTATCTAGTACAGAGCTATTATAATAGCTAATATTTCTATATATAGTAACCTTAAAGAAACGTAAGTTAGCCCACGACTAAGTCGTCGCCGGTACCGAGTAAGTCGCCGCTACCGCCTCCCCCCCCGCTAACGTCTCTCCCGCCGCCCCTCCTATCGAAAAAGATACCGCCCCCCCCTCTACCGATAAGGATATAGCCCCCCCCCCCCCCTTCTACCTCTAAGGCGTTAAGTAAGGTATTATACCTTTATAGATAGAGTATAGACGTTACTAACCATGTGTTAATATATATAGGCGCTTTTAAATATATTATGGCTAACCTCCTAACTAAGTACTCCCGCCCGGCTACTAATACCATATATAACCTCGCCGACCTTCCTATATATCGTGACCTCGTATCTAATAAGGCTAGCCGTAGCGCCTTCTCTACGAAGAAGCCTACTAACGTCCCGGCTACTATAGTTTAGCTTATTAGAGATAAGATCACGGCGGCGTATACCTGCTACGCTAAGAGGTTCGGGCTTTAGGCCTAGTATATAGTGCCGCCGGACGGATATTATAGTATTATTAAGGGTGCCTACGCTAACGACCACTTTAACTTATTAGGGAGCGGCTGCTCCCCTTATAATAGTACGTGCCTATCCCTAACTTACTACTCTAAACTAGCTGTCTAACCGCTATTATAGAAAATCGAGTTCCCGTTACCCTAGCCCCCCCCGCCGCCAGCAATACTCTGCCTAGATCTACTAGCCCGGATCTAGTATAGTTAAAGTAAGACTTTAAAAGAGGATAATGGATACCTAGCGGGCTAGCGCTAAGGCTAGGATACTAGTGGAGACGGCGGCCCTGGTTTAGGCCAAGTTTAAGCTTCAGCAAGAGCAGCAGCAGCAGCAACAGCAGTAACAGCAGCAACAGATACAGCAGCAGCAGCAGTAGCAGCAACAGCAGCAACAGCAACAGCAGTAATAGTAATAGCAGGAGGAGCAGGTAAAGGCTATAGCGGAGGCCGTGGTGATTAGCTCTACTAAGGAGGAGGAGGACACTAAGTATAAATAGTTCTTCTATAATAACTTAAATAATATTTTTTAGTTTTCTGTTTTAATTTAAATTATATTAGGTTTAGGAATACTTTATATAACACGTTTATCTTCCTATAAGTTTAAGGTATAAGTTTAATAATTTATTTAATACCCTATTATCTCCTCTTTCTCTTTATTTATCGTCTCTTCCGTTCTCTTTCTATTCCTTATAGTATACGATAATGGTTCCTATTTACGTTAAGATCACCTATATCCTAAAGAGGGAGAGGGACTTAATAGGAGTAGGTCTATTACCTTATTCGTTATATCGTGGAGGGTTATAGAGGGGACTAGTAAAATAAGTATTAGTGGTATATAAAGTAACGCTCTTAGATAAAGTACTTATAAGAAAACCCCTATATAATAGTTATTCGCTAGTTAGCGTTCAAACCCTTAGTTAATATTTCCCTAGCCGTTAATGGCTTATCTTAAAGGTCCCCTCCCTATAACTTATCTTGAAGGTTCCTTCTCGTGGATATCGGTATCTATATAGGTCGCTAGTTAGGTCGAAGATATTATCGAATAAATATAGCGTTAACTTAGGAGGGGCACGGGGAGGGTCGCGGGGCGGGTCACGGGGGCTATACTATAACGGGTAATAGGACTTAACGAAGCTGACCACTTATTAGTATCAGCGTGTATTAACTTAATAGTAAGCGAGTACGGAGTAACGAACCTAAAAGCTAATATAGCTAGCTATTCGCACGCATAGCGGTACCACCTTATTATTATTATCCTGTAACGTGTTAGCTCGTGTTAAAGCGTAATCTACGGGTTAAACGAATGGTGGCCCTCTATAAGCTCCCGGCCTTATATCTTTATAGCGAGGCCGCGAGAGTGCCGGTCTCTCGTTCCTATAGGTAGAGTATATAGTAACTATCCGTAATAAAAGTATAGTAAGTAATAAAAGTAGTAAGTAATAATAGTATAGTAAGTAATAAGGATAGTAAAGGTATTAGGTATAGAGGATAATTAAGGCGATATATAGAAGGAAAATTTAATCCTGTGGAAGTTATTAAGATAGGCAGTTAGGAGTAGGTATAAGTTACGTCACCACTTACCATTTATACTTTATGCTTCTCGTGACTTTATTTACTAGGCTTCCTTAATAGTTTCTATAGTAGTGGCAGCAATTAGTACTTTAAGGCAATAGAATATAGATATCGTGTTGTTTATTTATACGTGTGCTTAGTGTACTAACGGCCTCCACGGCAGTGGCCGCCGGAGGAAAAAGAAAAAGCGGGAAAGGAAAAAGGGGGCCGTAGCAGCTACTGTCTATCTATCGCTATCTAACGCTCCGCTGTCACTTCCCTCGAAGCTTACTTTAAGGGCAGGGTTTTTTGGATATATAGGAGGGCGCGGCCCCCTCCCTAGATTAGCCGGTATACCCCTTAGGAGGGGTAGGCAGGGCTTTTCGTAAAAGGGTTAAGGCCGGGTTCTTAGATTACTATGATATTATACTCGGCGCGGCACTAAAGCGGGAGCTCCCCCTACGTCTACTATAGGTATACCGCTTCGGTCTAGCGGGTGATATCGAGATCCTTAGCTCGGTACTTATACGCTTCGCGGATCTTCTTAGCCTCTTTCCTTAGTAATTGGTATATATCGTTAAAGGTATCGTGATCTCCGGTATAGGCGGTATAGCGGCCGGGGCGGCTAAGCGCCGTAGCGTCGTAGTATCCTAGGCCCTATAGGTACGCCGATTCAGGCATTATAATTATTATTACTTCTATATATTACCTAGTTAACCCCGCGCTACTATAACGCTACCTAGAACTATAAACCATATACTAGAATTATAGAGGAAAATTAGAAATAGAGAACTAGAAGAGGCTATTAGTTATACGATACCGCGACGGTTAGTATATAAGACCGTAAACAGGAACGTAATAAGGAAACCCTATAATAAGCTCTAAGGCATTATAGGAAAGAAAAAAGGAAAAGGAAAAGGACCTTAGCCTTTATTAACTATCTACTATTTTTACGGGTATAGGTAAAGCCCTGCCCTTCTTACTTACCGCCGGATATAGTAAGCACCCCCCCCCCTTAAAGGAGGCAGTAACGCCTACCTTACCTTTTCTCTTTATTAATTAAATAGAAAGGATAATAAGAATAGTCCCCCGGGGATATAGGGAGGCCGGAGATAGCGTACCGCGGCCGCTACACGGCGAGACGCCGCGGCACCCTTTTCACCCCCCGCTCCCTCGCTAACGCCCGGCCTAGGCTAACCTAAACTATAGCCTACTACCCTTCCCGTTATCTATTAGCCTAAAAGTATAATCTAGATATATAGAGGGGACGAACCGGGGCTATATAGGCCTTATAACGATATTACTCTAATTAAGGATAAGTATAAAGGTTTTTCCCCGGGATCCCGGGTTTTCCCCTTTATAGCTACCTAAGAAGGACTATAATCTAAATTAGTCTCCTATAGATTAAAAAAGATAGCGGAGTAAGAATAATAATAAGAATAAAGACTCTTAATTATTAGATACAGCGTAACTGTAAAAAATAATATAGAATAGTAATAGGGTAGTTAATCCGTTGATTTAATTAAGGCTTGTAAATCTGTAGATCTGTGTGTGTGTAACTATCTAAAATCCCTCACTGTTAGGGAACTCCTGCCAACGTAATTTCTATGGTGAAGATTCTGCAGGTGTCTACCCGGATAACCGAGATTACAATCCTTCGGTGAAATCCGTGCCCGTTACGTAACCGTATCTCACGGCCTGTTCAACATTCTTCGGTCTCCCCGAGCAGGTCCTAATGTTTTCGGTTATTCCAGCAGAACTAACTAGCTCTCCTACGATAACACAATGGCTTGCCTTAGATGCTTGGATTGCCCCGTGAACCAGTTTTGTCTGCAATAGAACGTCCGAAGACAAACTTTGGCCTCTGACCCAGAGATTAGTGATTTCATCCCTGTTGGGCATATAAGCGATGCAGCACCCGCCCAAGAGTGACTCGGTCTCCAAACCGACGGGGTCTAGCATAACGCTGGGTGACTGTCCGTTACTCCCTGCAACTAGGGCGGAAACTCCTCCAGCAACCATATCAACACAGTCCACGCCTGCATCAGCAATGGCAGCCGAGGCTACCGTAATGCACCCAGATAAAACATTCATCATATGCCAATCACCATGACCCTGAATTCGCGACATCTCTTGCTCGTGATCTCCCTCGAGGACGGTGACGGTAACGTCGAGGTTGCTTTTGGGCCACCGTTCGCCCACAATGACGCCGCGTAGTGCCAACTCGAGATGGGCACTGAGGTCCTGCTCGCTGAAGTCGCGGAGATATCCCCGTCTCTGACGCGTTGCGAAAGGAGCGTATTTCACGTGGGTTGAAAGAACGAGGTGCGGTGAAAATGGTGCCGACTTAGGAAGAGCACGTGGACCATGTACAGTGCAGACTAGTTTCATTCCGCTTGTGCTGACATTAAAACTCCCAACTGGGTTTTCAATCTCCAAGTAGGCAGATCCGGAGGAAGCGGGGGCAACGCCGGTCTTTAGAACTGATGTCGGAAAGTCAGCACTGGGAATATCGAGTTGGATGATGAAGACGAACAGAGATTCCTTGTAGTCGTCGCCGGCCTTGTCCTCGACTGTTTGCGTGAAGAGGCAACCTCATCTTCCAAGTAAACAGGAGAGAAGGTGAGACCAGACGGCCCGTTAATTCTTCGTCGGCCTGTCATTCCCCGGACTATACACGGCAGCCGTTGTGGGAGAGGCTCAACTCCGAGGCAGGTAGAAGTAACGAGCACGGGTTAAGAAGTGGTTTGCAGCTACGAGCTGAAATCAGATTTGAATTTCAGACCCTGTTGAACAGACCGTAGTTTTACGGTTGCGTAACGGACCGGATTTGACCAAGATTATAATCTCGGCAATCCGGGTAGACACCTGCAGAATCTTCACCATATAGATTATGGTGGTAGCAGTTCCCTGACGGTCCTGCAAAGTTATAATTATACATAATTGCCTTACTCAATTTAACCTTTAATTTTAACACTATTTAGACCGTTCCGATTACACTATATCTAATCATTAAGAGTCTTAATTACTAAGTAACGATATACCCTTTTACTAATCCTACTACCGTTCAAAAATTATACTAGCGGAGCCAGTATAGTAAACCGAGAACCCTTTATAACCGTACTAAAAGAACTACTTTAACGACTTCCCTTTGATAAGATAAATGTTAAATAGGTAGTCGTAAAGAGTGAAAAGGTAGAGGCAGTAAGGAACCAAAGGGGTCCCTAATAGGTTCACGAGTGGGAAAGTGATGGGACTAAACGTGGGGGTAACCAAAGAATCAGATTAATCGCTAGCCTCCCTCTTTAAAGGGGAGGCTCCCCCGCTCCTTAAGACTACGCTTTACTGCTCCTTGAGGACTGCTTTGTTTGCTTCCTTAAGGGCTATTGTATTTACTTCGAGGGGCTATTGTGTTTACTGTGTGATAACTGCTTTATTTATACCTTAAGGTGTCTTAGACCAAGAGCAGCTAGACCCTAATAGGTTTATACTTAGGAACTAGTATGACCACTGCTATAGGCACCTGATATAGCGACCTCCCCTGGATACTCTTATCCTTAGGAGCGCCTAATCCGTGCCGGCCTCTTGGCTTTTCCGAACCTAGTCCCCGAGTCCGTTCCTAAATCCCTTATTACCCCGAACTAGAACTCTCTATAACGGGACCCTAATAGGTCCCCGCTTAGTGCCTATATAAACCCCCGGGGCTCTAACTCGGGTATATATTCCCTCCCTTTAATCCACTAATAAAGGCTACTCTATCCGGGACCCTAATAGGTTTCTAAAGAGCTACTTCCCGGGCTTTCTAATCCGCCCCTTTATTCTTCTAGGTTATCCTTTTTATTTATCTATAAAGACTCTCCTTCCTAGTATTACGTGGGGCCCGATATTACTCCCCCCGCGAATGTATAGCTTCCTTCGGTAGACTAAAAATAGTTGCCTATATAACTGCTTATTAGAGATATCTCGTAACCTGCCGATATTCTCTCTTTCTATTCTTTTCGTCCTCTCCTATACTTAATTTTTCGATTATACTACGCCTAGTAAGTTCTACCCAATCTAAGGCATCGCGTACTAACGGTTTTATAGTCTTAATTAAATAACTAATTAACTAATTAACTAACTACTATCTTATAAGTGGTTCTAGACCCGTCTCCAGTCTATAATACTAGCTAACCACGCGATATAGTATAGTTATTATACCTTTATAGGAAGATAATAATAATAAACGCGTCGTTACTCCCGTACGTATAACGCGGGCCTCTAAGAGGCTTAAGACCACGGTTACGGCGTTGACCTTATAGTCTGCTAGGCAGTTTACCCTATAGCTAGCTATACTAGAGCCTCCTGCTCCTATTACGGCTACGTTGTTATTAACTGCTGCTTTATCGGTCGCTCCCCGCTAGAAGGTGGTGGATATGAGTATAGGCGGGGATCTAAGGGCCCCTTATATACATTATACGAGTAAGTTAGTGGCGATTAACCTTAAGGAGAAGACGTATAGTATTAAGGCCGAGATATACCGCTATGCCGATAATAGTGGGCAGACGAATAAGTACTATTACTATTCTAAGTATAATAGCCTTGAATACTGTGTGGTAAGTTATATATCTTTATTATTATTCTTATAGCCCCTCTTATTATAGACTACTCCGTAGTCTAGTTAGTCTAATATATATAGTAGCTTCCTATTATTAGTAAGAATACTACCGAGTAGCTATAAAAGGTATTAGTTATCGCTATTAAGAAAGGTAGCCTGAATAAGAGTCGCCGCGTAAGTATTGTATCCCTTTATTAATCCTGTATTGTACTTTTATTAATCCTATATAGTATTAGGCTATAGTAGTCCGATACTAGGTTATCCTTAGGGAGACTCTGGGTTAGTCAGTGTAGAAGAGTAACCGGTCGGCTACTAAGAATGCTATTATTACTCGGCGTTACGCTAAGGAAGTTGCTAACGCCTATTAGCAAATAGCGAAAGATATCCATAAGACGCTGAATAGTATAGAGTCGCGCCTTAAGTAATTTGTCGGGCTATAGTAGTAGCGCTTTACCGTTAAGTATAAGCGCTTTAATATTAAATAATAACGCCTTATATTATATAGGCGCGACCTCGTAGCCGAAGAGCGGACGGTTACTGCTTTCGATACACCCCTTTCTATAAAAAAGCGATTTCGACACGCCTATCCACCACAGGCGCGTAATAGGAGTAAAATCGATAAAACTACTAAGATAGGAATTCTAACTACCGCCTCCCTCCCGGGATACTAGTATAGCGATACCGTAATACCGGCGCTACGGTATAACCGCAAGAAATATAGGATAGCGTCGTCCCGACCTCGATAACGTAAAACTCGTCACGGACCCACTTTTCGTAGTATAAACGCTCCCCCCCCGCCCAAGGCAGGATATAGCGCGGAACTAATATAAGACCGCAAGGGGATTACTACGCCCCCCGGAACCGAGAATAGCTAAGATTAAAGCAGAAATTCAGGCCCTACTAGCTAATAGGAATACGATTAAGTAGGTTATAGAGCTAGTAGAGGAACTAATTATAATATATAGTACCTATAATAACGCTGGCACGCCGCTACTAATATACCTATACGCTTCCGTCCGCCACCTTATCTAAGAGGAACTCCGAAAAGGAATAAGCGGTATAAAAAAGGCCTAGGCTAATATTATAGCCCGGGCTCCCGCGGCAGTACCGCTATAAGATCCCGCCCCCCTAAAATAATCCCCGCTAAGCACTACTAGGAACTAATCGTCCGCTAAGGAACCCTCCCTAAAGACTAATCCCTTAGAGCCAAGACCCTAGAGGAAATTATTTAAACTATAAATACCACGACCACGTAATATAATACTATAAAGGTACAGAAGCTACTAAGCGGAGATATTTACCTTACCTTTACGGAAAAGGTATAGTAATAGACTACCTATGAAGAGTAATAGGTTAAGAAGGCCTTTAGTAAAAGGGCTATCCTAGCTATACGCACCTACCCTATATTAGCTAAGGCTATTCCTTAGGAGGTCCTAAATACCCTATCCAAAAAAGACCTATTAGTATCCCTATAAGATATAAATCCCGAGGCTAAAATCCTCTAAGCACGATAATAAGTACCCCGCCACGGTATTAGCAGGGTAGCGCTTCTCCTTATCGAATCGGCTTTATCGGAAAGGGTAATAAGCCTTATCCGAAATACCCTCCTCTTCGAGGGGGGTAGCCATATCTATAAACTATATAATCCTAACCTTAGCCCCCTATAATACTATAAATACCTTTACTTTGGCTATAAAGCTAACGGCTACTTTATAATGGAGAGGGTATACCGCTATTACGCTAAGCCCGAATTAGCGTACCTATAGGGCCTTAAATACTACGACGCCGCGGCGCCCGGGCGCCCCCGCCACTATACCGCCTATACCGGAGATCACGATACCTTTAATAATTTATACCGACTATTATAGAAAAAGGCTAAAAAGACCCACGAAGCTTATAAGTACCGAGCCAGGGACTTCGATATTACCTGCTAGACCGAAGCGGTATACCTATATTAGCCGTAGATGTTCCCCCTGATTATTATTACCAAAGACTAGGACCGACCCCTTTATAAAGGTAGAGGATAGCCCATAAAAAGGACTAGAGGATAGGAGGGCTCCCCAATACCCGGCCTAACAAGCGCCTATATAGTCCCCCGCGGGACTAGTAAGATACCGTAGTAAGAACCCTAGAGCTAGACCCCGGGTATACCGGGCATGCTATCTTAACCCCCCCCTTTTAATTAATAAGAATCCAGGTCCTTTTATAGAGTATAAGGAGGAGTTAGGCATAGAGGGAGCTCCTATTTTAGTACCGCGCCGAGTATAATATAATAGTAATCTAGGAACCCGGCCTTAACCCTTTCACGAAAAGCCCTGCCTACACCCCCTAAGGGGTATACCGGCTAATCTAAGGAGGAAGCCACGCCCTCCTATATATATATAAGAGACACCTGCTATATACGTAGACGTAGCAGGCCTACCACGGTACCTACGCGGTTATATTTAGAACTGGAGATAATACCCTTATAATCTAGTTAATCTACTTAGAGAACTACTAGTTCGCTAGGACCCCCTAGAATATATCCCTATAAGATATATTCGATATAGCACTACTATAGGGCCGTTACGTCCTTATAGGGGACTTTAACTTATACTACTCCCTATAAATATAACCACCGTGTTATTACCCCTAGGCTAATACCCTACTTACCCCCATAATCCGGTAGAACCTAGACTTAGTAATACCCCCTAGAACTACTATATAGTACCGCCCGGGCCGGTATAGTAGTACTATTTTTGGATATTAATAATATGACTAATAATATCCTTAATATCTTTCGAGTATATCCTTTATACTCGAATAAAGGATATCTTCCCCGTAAGCCTAGACCGTTCTCTTTCGAGTTAGTTTATCTGTTACGAGTCAGATAAAGGATATAATGGATTACGATACTATTACAATATCGATCCTTTATAAAGAATAAAGGATATTAACCCGTTCCCTTGGTTCGGTTCTTCCGTTCTTTATTCTTTATTCGAAAATCCTTTATCTTAATCCCTTTTTCGATCCGAAGAAGATATAATACGCGCGCAGAGATCCTACCTTATAATCCTATTATTATCTTTTTATTTTTCCACTGCTTTTCGTGACTTTCGTCCCTTCCGTTTATCCGATATCGTCAGATATCTTTAAAAGGTTATGAGCCCGGAAAAGCTCGACTAAAGTCTCGAAACAACACATTCCTTAATTGCCTACGGTCGTAAGCTAAAAAGAGAATCCCCCGATTCTAAATAATAGTCCGTATTCCTATCCG